ACACACACACACACACACACACACACAAACACACATATATATTACAAATTTAAAATTTTTTTTCAAATTCATTAGCTATAAGTTTGACTAACGTTTCTTCAGGTTCTGAATTTATCACCTTAAGGGATGAATTTAGATTTATCATTCTCTTTTAAGAGAGAAAAAGTAGTGCTAAAGAGGATGAATGATTTCAATTAATTGTTATCATTGCTTAAATTTGTAATCAATTCTCAATAAGTAATAGGTAGGCATACAATTCTGCCCACTTTCTCCACCAAAACAGAAATAATGATTTGTCGTGGTTGATTTGGTGCTGTTTCACTTGATCGTACTAAGAAATCACCTTCATTGATAAGCAAATGTGGTATATCTTCACGCGGTAATAAACCATGATAATAATCTTCTTCATCCAAATTCCCACCGCCCATTGTTGTACTTATAAAATTTAATTTTTTTAGAGAAAGAAAAAAAAAACACACACACACACACACGTACACATAATTCTAATTTTACTATCAAACATCTTATTTAACTAGTCATTTCTGATAGCACATCAAAAGTTTCTCCATTCATTGTTTTCATTCCTGATGCTTAGCAAAATTTGTTGAAACAAGAATGAGAATCGAAAGCTTCACACTATATCGTTTCCAAATTCAATCATTAAAAAAGCATTGAAATACATATTTGACATTAAATAATAGTCTTACGTTCATTAAGTTAGTTTAATTTTCAGTAATTCATAACACATCAAAATCTAAACTTCTCAAAGGATTATTACATTTTTTAACCAAATATTTTGAGTTTCAAAAATAATTTTCTAAGAGTATTCCTTTTCCTCATATCAGTACAATTTCATGACTACTTTTTATATTTCCGAAAAAAATTTTGAAACTCAACAATTGATGAACCGCCGTACCGTAATTTCCATATAAAGAAAATGAGCATGTGAAAATATTTCATCCTTTTTAATATCATTATTTTTAAGAGCGAAATTTCATAAATGCACAAATTTACATCAGCAGATAAGCGAATTAAGCATCCTCAGAATACGATTTTCATGATACAGCTTCTGAATATTTTTCCCGGTCCAATTTTCATGACACAGCTTTTAAACATTTTCAGAGTCAAATTTTCATGCTGTAATTTTGAACAATTTTCATCATTTTTAGTACACATTGATAAATTACACTTTATTATCAAGTATTAATCTTAAAAGCTTCCAGAAAAGCCTGCAAACTTGTATCTTTGCGTATCGGTGTTTGACTAGACAAAAGAAGTTGCAATTTTGATGCCATCTTTCGTCGGCGCGCCGAAGATGAAATTTTCTTTTCTGCTATTCTGAAATGGTATTCTAGACAAGCCTGTTAAGAATTAAGATCAAAAATAAAATCCTGAACAGAACCGGTAAAAGACAAAAGAAAATATATGATTACTGACTGCAGAAATTAATGTGCTGATATTAATGAATATTCTAACACTAGTGAGTATCTACAAATGATCTAATTTCGATCTGAAAAAAAGAATTTTTCTGATTTAGACTAGAAAGATCACTTTTGTAAATTATCCCCATCCATAATAGCATGATCGCTACTGCAGACTGATGGAAATGCTGACACTATTTGTAAAACTATTTGTAATCAGTAAATGTTTTTACTAAACTGCTTTTTAAGTATTTTTTTACGTGCAATTATTTCCGTCCATTTCAAATGCATAATATCTTAACAAAAGACAATTCATAAAAGTACGATCATATCAATTATATCACATTATAAAAATTCTATTAATAATTTTACACTGCAAAAATTCCGTTCAATAAAAGAAAATTTAGTAGAAATAATAGAGACTTTAAATTAATTTCAGTCACATGAAATTTTGGATTGGCATTTAATTTCAATGACAATTTTCTCATATTGTAACAATCTTTTGTAATCAACTATATTTTTTAATGCTTTATAATTATGCTTTTTCATAATGTAGTACTGATATTTTGATGAAAGAATATGTATAGAATTAGAGACAGATTAAAACAAAAGAAAAACATGAAAACATGTAACTAACTGGCTGGAAACTGGAGTTTGTCGTGATGAAGTTTTCGGTGTAGAAAAGGCAAATTGTCCTGAAAATCTTCGTGATTCTCGTTTCAAACTTTGATCGGAAGACGTTTCCATAGCTTGTTTCTTACAATCCACAACTGCCAACGCACCACCTTTCATCTCAGCCCCACATCCTTTACAAACCACTATCAAA